AAGAGGAGGACACTCAACCAACTGACCCACCCAGGTGCCCCCCAAATAAATAAGCTTAAAAAAATAAATAAAAATATATTATCATTTGCAATTGCCCCCCAAAAGAAAAATACTATGGTATAAATCTAGGAAAACATGCACAGGACTTGTATGGTAAAAAATTACACAAGTGAAAAAAATCAAAGATCTAAATAAATGGGGAGATATATAATGGATTGGAAAATTCAACACACTAAAGATGTCAATTCTCCCCTAATTGATATACAGGGCTAACACAATTCCTATAAAAATCTCAGGTTTTTTTTAAAACATAGACACAATCCACAATCATTCTAAAATTTATATAGGATAGCAAAGAAACAGCTCAATAGCTAGAACACCTAAAACGATTCTGATAAAGAATGAAGTAGGAGAAATCAGCTTGATTTCAAAACTTATTACATAGCTACAGAAATCAAGACTGTGAGGTATTATCAAAGGAATAAACAGAGATCAATGGAACAAAACAGAGAATCCTGAAATAAACCCACACAAATTTGCCCAACCGATTCCTGACAAAGTTGCAAAAGCAGTTCAATTGAGGAAAGACAGCATTTTCAATAAACAGTTCTGAAACAACCAGACAGTCTCAGGCCAATAATAATAATAATAATAAATCTCAAACTGTCTCACACACACCATACACAATTAACTCAAAATTGTGTACTTAAATGTAAAATGTAAATGTAAAACTATAAAACTTAAAAAAAAAGAGGAGAAAATTTGGAGATCTATGGCTTGGCAAAGAGTTCTTAGACATGACACCAGACGTTAAAATTCATAAAAGGAAATATTGTTGGTAAAATGTACTTCATCAAAATTAAAACTTTTGCTCTGCAAAAACTCCTGTTATGGGTTGAATGATGTGCCTGTAAAATTCATATATTAAAATCCTAATTCTTAGTACCTCAAAAACGTGATCTCATTTAGAAACAGAATTGTTGGTGACGTAATTAATTAAAAGGAAGTCACAGGGTGGACCCTAATCCAATAGGACTGGTGTCTTTACTAAAAATGGGAATGTAGAGGGATGCCTGGGTGGCACAGTGGTTAAGCGTCTGCCTTCAGCTCAGGGCGTGGCAGGATCAAGTCCCACATGGGGCTCCCCAGAGGGAATCTGCTTCTCCCTCTGCCTATGTCTCTGCCTCTCTCTATAGATCTCTCATGGATAAATAAATAAAATCTTTAAAAAAAAAAAAGGAAATTCAGAGGGGTGCCTGGGAGGCTCAGTCAGTTGGGCACTGGACTCTTGATTTCAGCTTAGGCTGTGATCTTGGGGTTATGAGATCGAGTCCCATGCTGGGCTCCATACTGGTAGAGCCGGCTTGCGATTCTCTCTCCCTCTCCATCTCCTTGTCCTCTTCTGCACCACCCCTCCCCTGCTCACTCTTTCTAAAAGAAAGGGAAGAAAGGGAAAAAACGGGGGGAAAAAAGGAAATGTAGACACAGATGAAAAAGAAGAACACCAAATGAAGATGAGTGCAGAGATTTACAAGCTAAGGTACACTAAATGTTGCCAGCAACCAACAGAAGCCAGGAACTAGGCATGACACAAACTGTCCCTCACAGCCCTCAGGAGTCACCAATCTGGCTGACACCCTCATCTCAGACTTCTGGCCTCCAGAACCGTGAGACAATAAATTTGTTGGTCGAGCCACTAAGTGTGTGGTACTTTGTTATGGCATCCCTAGTAAACGAATACACCCTTACAAAGAGAATGACAAGACAGCTACAGATTAGGAGACAATATCTGCAAACCACATACCTGACAAAGAACTACTACTAGAATATATAATCTCAAAAAACTCAAAAGAAAGAAAACAAACAATGCAATTAGAATCTAGGCAAAGACATAGACATTTAACTGAAGAAAATAAGCAGATGGCAAATAAACATGTGAAAAGACGTCCAAAATCATTAATCATATGGTCTCATTCATTTGGGGAATATAAAAATTAGTGAAAGGGAATAAAAGGAAAGGAGAGAAAATGAGTGAAAATATCAGTGAGGGTGACAAAACATGAGAGACACCTAACTCTGGGAAATGAACAGGGGGTAGTGGAAGGGGAGGTGGGCGGGGGTGGGGTTACTGGGTGATGAGCACTGAGGGGGCACTTGGCGGGATGAGCACTGGGTGTTATGCTATATGTTGGCAAACTGAACTCCAATAAAAAAAAAAAATTTTAGGGATCCCTGGGTGGCGCAGCAGTTTGGCACCTGCCTTTGGCCCAGGGCGCGATCCTGGAGACCCGGGATCGAATCCCACATCGGGCTCCCGGTGCATGGAGCCTGCTTCTCCCTCTGCCTATGTCTCTGCCTCTCTCTCTCTCTCTCTCTCTCTCTGACTATCATAAATAAATAAAAATTAAAAAAATTAAAAAAAATTTAAAAAAAAACATTCAAAATTAAAACCCCCACAAGATACAAATGCACACCTGTCAGAGTGGCTCAAATAACATACAGTGATGACAACAAATGCCGGCAAGGATGGGTGCCGGCAAGGATGGGGACAAATAATATCACTGATGCCTTGCTGGCGGGGAGGTGACGTGGTACAGCCACTCTGAAAACAGTTTGGCAGTTTTTTCAAAGCAAAAACAAAAAACAACTAACCATGCAACTACCCAAATTATCCGGCGATTGTACTCTCCTGGGTGTGTATTCCAGATAAAGATTGGTGCTCATATCAAAACCTGCACACAAATGTTTATAGCAGCTTTATTTATAAGAGCAGAAAACTGGAAACAGTCTCGATGTCATACCATGGAATACTACTCAACAGTAAAAAGAAAATAACTATTGATCCACACAACAGAGATGAATCTCTAGAGAAATAGGCTAAGTGAAAAAGCCAATCGCAAAACGTTCTATACTGTATGATTCCATTTACAGAACATCTGTCAAATGACAAAATTACAGAAATGACCAGATCAGTGAATGCCAGAGGATAAGGGAGAGGGTGAGGGCACTGGAGAGGTGGATGTGGCCATAAAGGTGCATCAGGAAGGATCCTGTAGTGATTGCTATGTTCTGTATCTTGAGTGTATCAAAGTCAATAACCTGGTTGGGATATCATACAATAGTTTTGCACAATGTTTCTATAGGGGGAAACTGGGCAAAGGGCAAATGGAATCGTTCTGTATTACTTTTTACAACTGCATATAAATCTATAATTACCTCAAAATAAAAACCTAATTTTTTTTCAAGATTTTATCTATTTACTTAAGAAAGAGAGAGACAGGGCAGCCCGGGTGGCTCAGCAGTTTGGCACCGCCTTCAGCCCAGGACCTGATCCTGGAGACCCGGGATCGAGTCCCTCGTCGGGTTCCCTGCATGGAACCTGCTTCTCCCACTGCCTGTGTCTCTGCCTCTGTCTCATGAATAAATAAATAAAATCTTAAAAGAGAGAGAGAGAGAGAGACAGAGAAAAGAGCATGCCAGCATGAACAGTGGGGAGAGGGAGAAGCAGAGGGAGCCTGAGGCCAGGCTTGATCCCAAGACTCTGAGATCACGACCTGAGCTGATGACTGAGCTCCCAGGTGCCCTGAAGTAATTTTCTAAAAGAGAAAATACACAGAACAGGAACGAGAGTGAACTACTGCTACATAATGGCAAGAAAAAAAAATATATATATATATGCCATATATTCTATTTATGTGAAACTCAAACATGGGCAATATTGAATTGATTGCCCTGCAAGGACAGGGCAGCCCAGGTGGCGCAGCGGTTTGGCACCTGCCTTCAGTCCAGGGTGTGATCCTGGGGTCTGGGATCGAGTCCCACGTCAGGCTTCCTGCATGGAGCCTGCTTCTCCCTCTGCCTGTGTCTCTGCCTCTGCCTCTCTCTCTCTCTTATGAATAAATAAATAAAAATCTTAAAAAAATAAAAATAAATAAAAGCAAGGACAGTGGTTACAACGGGGCAGGTGAGGGAGGTAAGGAAGCAACAACAGAGAGACTCCTGCAATACTGGTGATGTTTGGTTTTTGAGCGTAGCGAGGGTTCCATGGGTGTGCAACAGGCTGTGTGCACTTACGACGTGCGTACTTTTCTGTGTTATGCATTAATAATACTGCTGTAAGGTTTATTAAAGAAAAATAAATCAAGTCCATACAAGGAATAGGCATAATAGGGTGGGTGTGGGTGTGGGTGGGCCAAGCGGCCACGAGGAGGGCGTTGAGGACCGGGGCTGGGAGCGGAGGGCCCTACAGGCTTCCAGTCTCAGTCTCCCTACTCCGCTCGTGGACTCCCATCACGACTGCTGGGGGCCGGAAGCTGAGGATGCACCTGTTGGGGATACACCTGTGACCATCGCGGAGCAGCCACTTTTAGGGATGGAGGACAGAGGGGGGCCCTGCGGAGGCTGCTGAGACAAAGGACGAGACTGCCACCGGCTAACCGCGAGGAAGCTGCACCGCGAACGGCGGAGAGTCACCACCTGGACTGTCTTCATCCGGAGTTAAAACAAGGGGGGGGGGGGAGGAGAGTGGTGCCAAAAAAAAAAAAAAAGTCCCAACCGGATCTCCCATTCTGTTAGAAAGGCAAATCGACGCGTGACGTCTGCAGAGGTGAGCAGGGGGCAAACAGAGGTCAAACAGGTCACTCCCACCCACCCGTCGTCCCTTTGGGTTGGAAGGAGCCACGTGACGCTTCGGGGGCGCCTCAGGGGCGTGTCCGGCCCTGGGGCCGCGAGGATGCGCAGGACCGAGCCTTCTCAGCGGTGGGGGGCGGGGGATGGCGGGGGGGCAGCGGGGGCAGCCCCGGGCGGCGTCCACACCCATCACCGTCGCCCTCCCCCCCGCAGCCTGCCGGGGCAGCATCAACCTCGAGCCCGCTTTCAAGAGGCTCCGGAAGCCGCGAGGCCTGAGTCATGGCCCCAAATCACGCCCCGTTTGGCCCCAATTCCCATTCCGTCCCAAGGACCCGGGGCCGAGGCCTCACCTCGCCACGGTTTTACTTTACCTTCAGCAGGCTCTGGAGCGCGGCAAAACCCTCCGCTGTCAACGCGGCCATCTTCCACGAGTCACCTGACGGCGACACGCGGGGAGGCTGGTCACGTGGCTCCGACGCCGCCGCAGGGCATGCCGGGGGTTGTAGTCTTTCGGGGACGGCGCCGGAGGCAGCGATCGCTGGCGGGAGTCCAAGCTGACTTAGGGATGCACCTGCCGGTGGTTTTCACACTTTTGCTTAGTCCCCTCCTCAGTGGCCGGTATCAAGCGGCAGAAGAGATGATATGTCGCTTCTAAGATTATTGATAAAGGACTGCAGCTTTTTAAAAAAATTTTTATTTATTTTTTTAATTTTTTTTATTTTTTTATAATAAATTTATTTTTTATTGGTGTTCAATTTACCAACATATAGAATAACACCCAGTGCTCATCCCGTCAAGTGCCTGTCACCCAGTCACCCCCACCCCCCACCCTCCTCCCCCTCCACCACCCCTAGTTCATTTCCCAGAGTTAGGAGTCTTTATGTTCTGTCTCCCTTTCTGATTTTTCCCACACACTTCTTCTCCCTTCCCTTATATTCCCTTTCACTATTATTTATATTCCCCAAATGAATGAGAACATATAATGTTTGTCCTTCTCCGATTGACTTACTTCACTCAGCATAACACCCTCCGGTTCCATCCATGTTGAAGCAAATGGTGGGTATTTGTCATTTCTAATGAGGAATATTCCATTGTATAATTTTATTTATTTATTCATGAGAGAGAGAGAGAGAGAGGCAGAGACACAGGCAGAGGGAGAAAGAAGCAGGCTCCATGCAGGGAGCCTGACGTGGGACTCGATCCTGGGTCTCCAAGGTCATGACCTGGGCTGAAGGCAGCGCTAAACTGCTGAGCCACCTGAGCTGCCCAGATTGCAGCTTTTGGATACTCTTGTCTCTGCGCCTTTTTCTAGAACCTCTTGCCCTGGGGGAAACTAAGCTGTCCTGTTGTGAGCAGCCCTCTGGAGAGGTCCGTGTGGGCAAAGAGCTGAAGCCCCTGGCCGAGAGCCAGCAGGACACCGAGGCTGCCAGCAACCTCATTAACTGAGTTTAGAAGCAGTAGGCTCCGCAGAGCTTTGGGATGACTGTAGCCTTGGCCAACATTTTGACTACGACCCCATGAGAGTTTCAGAACCACCAGCTGAGCCAACTCCTGGATTTCTGATCTTCAAGAGCTCTATGATTATAAATGTTTGTTGCATTAAGCCACTAAGCTTGGTGATTTGCAACACAGCAGTAGTAACTAATACACAGAGGCCACACAGCGTAGAGGATTTAGAATTCCACCCACGTTTGGATCCCAACCCTGCATGTTATTAGCTGTACTGTGAGCAAATTCTTGAACTTCTCTGAGCCTCGGTTTCCACATCTTTAAAACAATGTGGATCACACCTACTGCAGAGAGCAGAGCTGAGGGATACATGCTGCCCCCGGGGAGGACATCTGACCTTATGGGTAGGTATGATAGGAGGGGACCCCCCTGGGCTCCAGTCAGTGATAGAGCCTGCGACCATGCACCCTGTCATCCCAGGTGGCCACTACCATGATGCGTTTAAAGATTTGTCTGTGGTCTGGAGAGCTTCCAGCAATTGCTAAGCCATAAATGTTTTCACAGAAAGGAACAGAATAGAATTTCAGAATTTATTTCCATGATTTTGGTCTCACTACCTGGTCTTTGTTAAGCCGAACCTGATTTCTTTCCGATTCTGGGTATATGAGCTTGTGCTTTCATTTATTTAATAAACTTGCCACGTGCCTGGCTCCCTTCTTAGCTGCTCACACTTACTGATTTGCTTATTTCCTATAACGATTTTATGTGATACACACACACACACAGAGAAACACACACAGCACTATTATTTTTCCCATTTTACATAGGAGGAAACTGAGGTACAGAGACGTTAAGTAACTTACCCACGGTCACACAGCTAAGTAGTGGAAGAGCCCAGATTCAAACTTGAGTAGCTGGGCTCCAGAGTCTGTGCTGTTAACTGCTGAGCTGCATATGTCTCATTGTCTTCCCATAGCTGAGAACTCCTGCTTCTTCTGTCTGGATATCTGACTCCCTTCCCAGGGGGGTCAAAAACGGTCTAAGGGCGTTGTTCCTGGACCATCAGCCCAGTGGTGTGATGACAGACAAGATAATGAGTGGAAGGGGTACCTTGGGAAACAGACTCAGGCTCCATTCCTGGCTCCTGTATGCTTCTGGCAAGTTACTTCATCTCCCTGAACCTCAGTCTCCTCTTCTGTAAAGTGGAAACAGCAATTAAAATACCTTTTGACCCTTATGGGGAGCTCGGGGATGATTTATACCCCAAAGAGAGCGGGATTATTTATTTGGAGACTCCGTTTTAGCCATTTGGCAGCTGCAAAGGGCAGAGCATTCCCATGCTATGAAAAAGGGTTGCCCTAGGGTGATCGGCCATCCCGGTTTGTCCAAGAATGAGAGATTTTATGGGACGCAGCACTTGCAGTGCTAACACTGGGGCGGTCCTGAGCAAACCAGGCTAGTTAGTCACCCTCACTTGGGCCCGGAGCCTTTGAAGAAAAGCATCTTTTTAGAGCATTTGTCCTGTCTTCTCCGGTGGGGCTGATATGAAGAGAGCAGCATGGATGCAGAATTTTTAAATAGAAGGTGAGTAGAGGCAGCAATCCTAGTTTGAGAGTTTTTTGTTGCTGCTGCTGCTGCTAGCTGTCTTGGGAGGTAATTCACATATACAGTTTCCTCCTTCGAAGGGTACAATTCAGTGGATTTGGGTATATTCGCAGAGTTGGGGGACCATCCCCACAATGCAAGACCATACTTACCACCAAAAAAGGAAAACCACACCCTTTAGCGATCATTCCCCGCTTCTCGCTCCATCGTACCTCAGCCCCAGGCCACCACGAATCTCCTTTCTGTCCTCTTGATTGATCTCTTCTGGTCATGTCATACACATGGAGGCAGATGCGGTTGTTTTCATCAACTTCTTGCACTTAGCCTGACGTTCTCAAGGGTCACCTGCACTGTGTATCGTGTAACAATACGTCATTCCTTTTGAATGAGTAATTTCCTTTGCCTGGATAGATCACATTTTGTTTATCCATCCATCAGGTGATGGATATTTGGGTCCTTTCTGCCTTTTGGCTGTCATGACTAATGCTGCTGTGAACACTCTTGAACAGAGTTTTGTGTAGATTTGTATTTCCATCTCTCTTGGGGTATATACTCAGGAGTCACGGGGTAACCCTGCGTTTAACTTCTTTTTTTAAGATTTTATTTATTTATTCATGAGAGACACACATACAGAGAGAGAGAGAGACAGAGACACAGGCAGAGGGAGAAGCAGGCTCCATGCAGGGAGCCTGACGTGGGACTCGATCCCGGGACTCCAGGATCATGCCCTGGGCCGAAGGCAGGTGCTAAACCGCTGAGCCACCCAGGAATCCCCTGTGTTTAACTTTTTGAGGAGCTTCCAGACTGTTTCCCGGAGTGGTTGTGCCATATACCTTCCCATCGACAACGTCTGAGGGGTCCCATCCCCCCACATCCTCACCGACATGGGTTAGCATCCATCTGATGGTAGCCATCCTGGTGGCTGTGAAGTGGTGTCTCGTGAGCAAGCTTGCTTCAGAGTTGAAACTTGCAGAGCCAGCACGTTATCATTTGGGCTACTGATGTTCACTTGAGGTGACTGATGGAGATTCTGGGGGCTTAAGCCCCTGGTCTTCCCTTTGGGCTGCCTTCTTTATCAGAGGAACACCTGCAGGAGGTGGATTAGGCCAAGGGGCCCATGGTCCTTTAGGGAGAGGCCCCTCATTTTCTTGTTTTCCCTTCTCCTCACCCTCATTCCATGGATGGAGAGGAGGGCAGGTGTCCACAGAGAAAGGGGCTGTCACCTTTTTGGTCTTATGCCACCTGCTTTAAGTCAAAGGCTGGTGTTGAAGTGGCCTGATCAGCTCATTGGGACACTGCTGGCAAGTTGGGGACAGAAGACTTGAAAATGACAGGCGCACCCTGGCTTGGACATGCTGCCTGTGTCCAGATGATGCAACACAGGCTGCATGATCTGGGGCTCCCTTTGCACTCACAGTGTCTTAATTAATTAACAGAGTTATTTCAAAATTAGGAAGTGTGACCTGAAAATCCAGAGGTCTGGCTTTTCTCTAAAAATTGGCAGGCCTAGCCATGGTGCTCCCACCTTGCACGTTGCAGCAGTTGGCTGGAGCTGAGTCCTGGCTGCCTCCCTGAAGATAGGCACGAGCTTTCCAAGTCCCCACGGTCCACTCCGTGTATGTCACAGTCAGCGCCCCCCGCGTGTCGTCACCTGCCTTCTCTCTGCCGGAGCAGAGTATTCGTTAGTACCCGACTTGCCTTGGGGACCGAATGGGGTAAAGTTAGGTCATAGTCGATGGCCAGGCTGCGTTTGTATTTGAGATGCTGGGTTTCCAGCTCTTTGCATCTCGTCTCACCACGAACCTAAGCGAGTTGCAGGCGGGCATCTCATGTCCCATTCATGCTTCTCACGGATTGGTCTGGGCCGAGCACTGTTCTGAGAGCTTTGCATGTGTAAACTCATTCAATCCTCACAGTGACCCGTGAATATTCCCAGATTACAAGTGGGAAAACTAAAGATCAGAAAATGAACTCATAATCCGTGGGGAATTCGTGGCAGACCAAGGATTTGAAGGCAGGAGCAAACGGGGTCCTTTTGTGAGCTTGCAGATAATGCAGCGCCAGGTCCATCTGGGGGGTGGGGGGGTGTTCAGTTGAGGCTGCCACATAATGACTCACCTGGCCTTGCAACTGTTGCTAGCATGCTCCGCAGCCCGGCACTGGTCCTGGTCAGGGGCCGCTCCCGGAGGCCGGGGGTTGGAGGAGATGATGGCCAATGTATTTGGAGACATAATGTCTGTGATTCTTTTCAGCTCTGAAAGGCAGCTAAAGAAGAGGGGCGGGAGAGGAGGCCGTTTGTCGATCCGTGATGCCTGGAAGGCCAGCAGGGACTCAATTGGTCCCTCCTGGGGGAGTGTCCCCTCTCCCCCCACTTCGGAACCCCGGGA